ATATATATATATATATATATATATATATATATATATATATATATTTATAAACTTGTTTATTTTACTTATTTATTTTTGGCTGCGTTGGGTCTTCGTTGCTGAGCGCGGGCTTTCTCTAGTTGCGGCGAGCGGGGGCTACTCTTCGTTGCGGTGCGCAGGCTTCTCATTGCGGTGGCCTCCCTTGTTGCGGAGCACGGGCCCTAGGAGCAGCAGGCTTCAGTAGTTGTGGCACGTGGGCTTCAGAAGTTGTGGCACGTGGGCTCAGTAGTTGTGGCGCATGGGCTTAGTTGCTCCGCGGCATGTGGGATCTTCCCAGACCAGGGCTTGAACCCGTGTCCCCTGCATTGGCAGGTGGATTCTTAACCATTGTGCCACCAGGGAAGTCCCAAATGCTTTCTTAAAGGAAAAGAAAAGTGGCTAGAAAAAATTCAGCTCCATTTAGTAAATCTGAGACTGTGCTGAGACCCATACACACCCACACTACCACACCCATATGTATGTGTACCTATACATATACCTGTACCTCTACCTACGCCTAACCACACCAATATATACAGGTACCTATACCTATGCCTTTGCCTATACATAGGGGTTAAAGTTTATCTTTTGGTCTTATGATTTAGACTTGAATAGTACAATGTTAAGATGCTATAAGGTGCTTCATTATATTAAGAAAAATCATACTTCTTAAAATTTGTTCAAATAAAAACATTATTTTATTACCTACCTTTTACAATGGAGAAAATGAAAGATTCTGTAAGAATCAGTATAATAATACCTATGGATTATTCCACTGTGGTACTCATGGAGTAATTATGTGGTTGAAAGGTGGCTGATGTTTTATAAGAACAGGAGTGTGATCATGAGTAGAACTGATTTTGTCCTTTGCTTTTGTGAAATAGGAATGTTGTCAGCTCTTACTCTGATATCCAGGTAAGGTCCGTTGTAATTGATCTTCTCTCCACTAGATAGGAAGATCAGAGTCATAAATATTCATAAGAATATTTCCCCTTACTTGCTGTTTGCGTAAATAAAAGGTTAATTTATAAGGAACTGATTTTGTTTGTGTAAACTTTAAGCAAAAGAATTACTCTTATAAACTAAAAACTTAAATCGATCATCATGTCAGTTTAGAGTTATAGAAATAGCCTTTTAAAGGTATTATTTCCTCATTCAAATTTCTATGACAGAAAAAAATAGACAATGGGAATGCAAATTCTTAAATTAGCATGTATTAATATTTTTATTTTATAAGCTGATTATGAATGTGTGTATATATGTGCTCACTTTACTTTGCTCTTCTTTGCTTTGAGCCCCTGTGGTGAGCCCCTGTCTGCAGGCCTGACCTCATTCTCTCCTTTCTCACTAGATTTGGCTGGAACTGGGAAATAAGAGGAAGGCAACCTCGGCCACTGGCATGAATGATAAAAGCTCCCGCTCGCACTCAGTGTTCACCCTGGTGATGACCCAGACCAAGGTACTGTGTTGTTGATTAATTTCTTAGGTAAGATAGTCACTATATTCAAGTTTCATGTTTTCCTTATTTTCTCCTTTATTTTTTTATTTTTATCATCTTTATTGGAGTATAATTGCTTTACAGTGGTGTGTTAGTTTCTGCTGTATAACAAAGTGAATCAGCTATATGTATACATATATCCCCATATCCCCTCCCTCTTGCATCTCCCTCCCACCCTCCCTATCCCACCCCTCTAGGTGGTCACAAAGCACCGAGCTGATCTCCCTGTGCTATGCGGCCGCCTCCCACTAGCTCTGTGTTTTACGTTTGGTAGTGTATATATGTCCATGCCTCTCTCTTACTTCTTTAAATCAAAGGTAAAAGTCCAATCATATAAATGTATAACATAATTGGATTTTAGGACATATACACAGTAACGCTGAGTGGCATATACAGGAGTACGTTTTTCTCAGTGTTTTAAAAAATCAATAACGTGATTATTAACTTATCATATTGATATTGTCATATCAATACATGATAATATATTATCAACAATACATGATAATTGTACAGTATTTGAAAAGACATACCAGAAAGTAAAAGATTTTAAATAATTCATCCGTAGGGTTCCACTGCTCAAATGAAACCCCTCTAAAGAGTTTGGTATATAATCTTTCAGTTGTTTTACAATCACACGTAAACAAATTTACAAAATCTGCAACAATTTTATACTGTTAAAATTACTTGCAAAACATTATTATTCACAGCTACATAATTTTCCTTTGTTAAAATTCCTCAGGTTTTTCTCTGCTGTTGGACATTTATGTTGCTTTTAAATGCTTTGCTACTTCAGGGCTGGCATGAACAGCACCTTTGTACATTAAGCCTTTTTTCTGTCTGTGGCCGTTTCCCTAATATAATTGCGTAGTTATGGGTTTAGCCCCTTAAAGTCATTCCTTTTATTTTGCATAGTCTGAGCACTGCTCAGTGTGTTCTTATAAATTGTCACAGATTCAAGAAGGGATAGCTTCAAAAATAAGTGAGTGGTTTGTAATCTTGTCTACCTTTCCGTTTTGCAGACTTATATTGATGGCAAGTCGTAAAAGAACTTATGATGTGTTATTTTAATGTCCTCTTGTCCCAGACAGAATTTGTGGAAGGGGAAGAGCTGGATCACAGGATTCGGAGCCGCATAAACCTGGTGGACCTGGCGGGCAGTGAGCGCTGTTCCGAGACCCAGACGAGCGGGGAGCGGCTGAAGGTAAGGGTGAGCCCTCACGCTGGGGAGCTCAGTCCTGGGCACTGTTATTAGGAGATTACTGGCTAAGCACGTAATCTTTTTTTTTTTTTTTTAATAAATTTATTTATTTATTTATGGCTGTGTTGGGTCTTTGTTGCTGCGCGTGGGCTTTCTCTAGTTGCGGCGAGTGAGGGCCACTCTTCGTTGTGGTGCGTGGGCTTCTCACTGCGGTGACTTCTCTTGTTGCGGAGCACAGGCTCTAGAGCACAGGCTCAGTAGTTGGGGCATGCAGCCTCTGTAGTTGTGGCTCGCAGGCTCAGTAGTTGTGGCTCGTGGGCTCTAGAGTGCAGGCTCAGTAGTTGTGGCTCGTGGGCTCTAGAGCGCAGGCTCAGTAGTTGTGGCACACAGACTCAGCTGTTCCGCAGCATGTGGGATCTTCCCGGTCCAGGGCTTGGACCCGTGTTCCCTGCACTGGCAGGCGGTATTCCTAACCACTGCGCCACCAGGGAAGTCCCTAAGTGTGTAATCTTAACCAAGAATAACCTCTCTGTCCCTGCACTTAATAGACTGTGTTGCTGAGACTTAAAGAGGAGCCTGTAGTTCTTGGTTATGATTGCTTCTCAGAGTCAATTAGTAAATTTTGAGTCTGAAGAAAGTTGGTAGTTTATGGAAGAAAGTATTTCCTCAGTAATTATATGAAGGAAGAAATATATTTTGTGAAATACATTTATTGCTGAGCAGTTCCTTTCAATTAAAATGTTTGATCTTGTCCCCAGGAAGGCGTGAGTATTAACAAGTCCCTGCTGACCCTGGGAAAGGTCATATCCGCGCTCTCCGAGCAGGCCAGCGGGAAGAGAACATTCATTCCTTACCGCGAGTCTGTCCTCACATGGCAAGTAGCTTTTGGAGTATAAGGAATTGTACAAAATAGAGTGAGTACTGTGGGGGAAAAGGGCATAGACTGACTTCATGTGACTCTGGGACAGAGCAGTGGTGAGCGGTACGGATTCCAGAGCCAGGCTACCTGGACTTGATCTCAGCTGTGCTTCCTACAAACTGTGTGACTTTGGGCAAATCAGTTAATAGTCCTCCAGCCTGTTTCCTCATCTCTAAAATGGGGATAATATCAATACCTGTCTTTTAGGGTTGTAGTGAGGGTTAAATGATGAATGAACTATTATTAGTGCCTGATGTTTGAGCATATATGGTATCACCAAACACATTACTATGTGTGTGAAGCGAAGTTTAGCACACACTGGCTGGCATGTAAGTGTTCAAAAAGTATTTTCATTAATGAACATGTATTTAACTTCAGATATATTACATTCAGATTATGTCTGTATTGATTTAATACCCAATTCTGATACGGACTGCATCACTGTGGACAGCAGTGTATCGTTATATTTGACTTATTATATTATAATTGCCACCTCAAAACCTGTAAGTGAAAAATTGATTTTTTTAATGCCTTTTGAAAATTAAGAATAACTTTTGAAAGTTAGGAATAATTCACTCTGCATTCATAAATACAGAGTTTTTAGTCTCGTGATCTTTTTCCTTCTAAAATAAGGCTTTTGCATATAATAGAAAACAAAATTTATGTTTATATGTTCATCCATCGTTTTCTGCACTTTTGAGCAGCTGCTTTGAAGGGCTCTGGTGACCCTGGAAATGCAAGGGTGACCAGACACACGGTCCCGCCCCTAAAGTTGCTCACAGTCTAGTATGGGGAGAGGGATTTTACTAAATATTGGAAAGTTAACCATATTTAAAAATCTTTGCACAGACTGTCGCTTCACAGAACACTATAAAAAGTGTGAGACGAGGGACTTTCCCTGGCAATCCAGTGGTTAGGACTCTGCGCTCTCACTGCCGAGGGCCCGGGTTCAATCCCTGGTCGGAGAACTAGAATTCCACGAGCTGCGCGGCCAGAATAAATAAATGAAAAGTGTGAGATGAAATAAAGTGTGCAGAGATCTAAAAATAGCTACAAATACCAAACAGTTCTAACCGGTGTCTGAGTGAGGAGCGTAGCACTGCGTCACGTGTCCCCGTGGTCTGCCTCGTGCTCTCTAGGTAGTTGTCCTGAGGTCGTTGTAGAAGCAAAGTCTAATTGTGACTGTTTTCCTTGAAGGCTGCTGAAGGAAAGTCTGAGCGGAAATTCCAAAACGTCGATGATCGCCACGGTCAGCCCGGCGGCCAGCAGCGTGGAGGAGACCCTGAGCACGCTGAGATACGCCACCCAGGCCCGGATGATAGTCAACGCCGCCAGGGTCAACGAGGACGTGAGCGCCAAGTTGATCAGAGGTCAGCAGTTCCCTACAGACTTAAAGATTATCTTGCAAGAGTTTAGTCTCAGATATTCATTTCAGTGATGAAAATGTGCAGTTTAAGGAAGTTAAAGATTTTTCTCTCGTATCTGTGTAATAGCTGCTGGCCATCGTTCCACACTGATGAGGAAGGCGGCTGGAAGGACGGCAGGAAGGAGTAATGGGGAAAGTCAGAAAAAGCCGGGAAATGGGGTGGGCGAAAGGGAGACAGCCGGCGCAGGAAACCCTCTAGGGACTGAGTCGTGCGCCTGTGCAGCACAGGGGCAGTAATGTCCTTTACTTTTCCTCCTGTGGCCTTTCCGCCGTTGTCTGTCTCTCACCTCTGCTTTCGCTTGGTTCATTGACCCAAAGGCTGTTTGGTCCTGGGTCTCCAGCACGGGCCTCCCTTCGCCAACGCCGAGTGTCCTTCTCTTGCTCACCTGCTCGGGGACCTTGCAGAAGGCGAATAGGTCCCTCAGAGGTGTGGGCCAGAGGAGGATGGATTTGCCGTCTCGCGCTCCATCTTTTCCTGTTTGGATCCCCCTCGCATTTACAAATGGGACCATTTTCATTAAAAATAAGTATTCTGAATTCCAGCTTGGCAAATCTGTCATCTTCATCTAACATGTCTTTATGAGTATGGTTTGCCTGGGGCAGTCCTGGTTCATGGCTGTCATCCCAGTGTGATGAATGGTGCCTCCGGTCCTTCTCAAACGTGTCCCTCTTTGGACGATACATTACGTGGCCATACTGCTTTTGAGGGAGGGAAATTCATTAATAGGGGAGCAGTTTTTCAGGTAAAGGTTAGGTAGAGATTTGTAGGTAAAGTAAAATTTCTGCAAGTATTCTGTTTTACTTAGTATTTAAAACTTCAAATAAAATAGAAGATTGGAGGGTTATGTCTAGTGTGGGAATTACTATATATCAAATGTTATTGATCATGCATCTTTCTACAAATATTTAGACTTGAAAGCAGAAATTGAAAAGTTAAAAGCTGCTCAAAGAAACAGTCAGAACATTGACCCTGAGCGATATAGGCTCTGTCGGCAAGAAATAACATCCTTGAGAATGAAGCTGTATCAGCAGGAGAGAGACATGGCAGAAATGCAAAGGTGGGCTCTGGTCACTACCTTCGATGCTGTGGGTGTTGCCTGGAATTGCTGGACTGGCTTGGGGCGAGGGTTGGGAGAGGGGGAGGGGGTGGAGGTGGGGACGGGAGGCTGAGAAGGTACCGGAGTCTGCCTTTATCCCTGCCTCCTTCCCTGTGAATAGAGCAGCTTATCCCCAGACCATTGCGTTTTAAGTATTCCCAAGTGGTTTCCTCATCTCAGTTGATTGTCTCTTGATTCTAAACTCTCATTTGTCTTTGGTAAGAATGTGGAAGGAAAAACTTGAACAAGCTGAAAAAAGGAAACTTCAAGTAACAAAGGAGTTACAGGTATCGTTTCAGCTCTCTAAACTGATTTGAAAATTTGCAAAGAAATATGACAGTAAATATACAGATGTAATTTCTCAAATTCCAGGCCAAGGAATTTGTTTTATCCTGTGGGAAGTGGTAAATCTTTGAAAGGGTTTGACCAGGGAATCGACATTTTGAGAATTAGTTCACAATTACTTTGGTGTAGGGTGTAAGCAGGACTGAAGCCAAGAGGGACTGTTGGCAGGGCGGTCAGAAGGCTGCCTCAGTGGTTCAGGTGGGAGGTGCTACGGGTCTGAACCAAGGTGATGGCCATGGAGACGCAGTGGCAGGACCTGACCTGCTGTAGACGTCGGTGGGTGAGATCAGGCACATCTGGTGATGCTGGGTTGAGCTGTGAGTGGGCTGAGGATGGTGCCAGGACAGAGGGTCAGCGTCTTCCTGGGAGTCTAAGAAGTATGGTGGTCACACTTACGGTGAAGTCGCGAGGAGAGGGTCTAAGAGACCATTAATTAACCGAGTCCCACGTACTGCGATTTTAAAGTTTAATGTTTTAGGTGGATCTAACAGTTTCATGCTTGTGATTAAAGGTAATTTTTTTTCTGACTTCTCCTAGAAAGCAGGAATTACATTTCAAATGGACAACCATTTGCCAAACCTGGTCAATCTCAATGAAGACCCTCAGCTGTCGGAGATACTGTTATATATGATAAAAGAGGGAACAACTACAGTCGGAAAGTATAAACCAAACTCGAGCCGTGACATCCAGTTGTCGGGGGTGCTGATCGCCGACGAGCACTGGTGCGTTCCTGCCCAGTAGTTTTCCAGATCTTGATGACTGTGGCTTCCTTCACATGAGGCATTCACTCACACTGATTCTTTGGTATAAGTCTTCGCATGCATCTTTCAGCCAGGAAAAACAGGCAGTCTGAGTGTTTTTTTTTTTTTTTTTCCTTGCGTTATGCGAGCCTCTCACTGTTGTGGCCTCTCCCATTTGCGGAGCACAGGCTCCGGACGCGCAGGCTCAGCGGCCATGGCTCACGGGCCCAGCCGCTCCGGGGCACGCGGGATCCTCCCGAAACGGGGCACGAACCCGCGTCTCCTGCATCGGCAGGCAGACTCTCAAGCACTGCGCCACCAGGGAAGCCCAGTCTGAGTGTTTTGTAAGGATGGCAGGTCAGTTACTCTCAATATGAGATACGATAGAGTACCGCTTTATCAGAAGTTATCCCTCAGCCAATAGCTCTAAACTTCTATCCATCATCTATGGCAGGATTTTTGACTGGATTGACAAATTTTAAAATCCATTCATATGAATTGAATGATACTGTGTTGTTAGGGCGATAGTACATATAAACTGTTGTAGCTGCACAGTGTGTTTTCATGATTGGGCCATGTTGATGCTCCCTCATTTTTCCGCTGTAAAGTATCCTGTTGTGTGAGTCTACCTGTCTACTTGGTTGGTGGGCGTTTGGGTGGTGTCTCATGTTTTGCTCCCCCAGTACTGCTGTGGGCACTCTTGGATGCGTCTCCTGGTACAGACGGGCAGAGCTTCTGTGGGGCGAGTTTCATACCCTGAGTTAGGGCCCTCGGGGCAGCCGCTGGGAACCCGGGCAGCCAGGCCCTCCTGTCCGCCCCGCTGTGCTGCGTGAGTCTCTGATGATCTTCCTGTTATCCTCCCTATATGGTGATCATTGTGAAGTTTGGGAAAATGGCTCCTAAGTGGTGTGTATAGCAGCAGAGATAACCAGGCTGCAGCATATGTGCATAGCCATCTTTATGAGGTAATTTCAGATTGTTTTCCAGAATGGCTGGCACTTCTGCCGCCATTGGCTCCTTGGTCCCTGTTGCCCTGCATCCTTGCTGACCCTTAGCACTGTCAGGGGGATGTGAAATGGCATCTCGTGGGGGATGCGTTTTGCATTTACTTGACTGATCCTATTCACCTGTTCTTGGGCCATTTTTGTTTGCTCTTCTGTAACCTGCCTGTTCATTGTTCATGTCTTTTGTCCATTTTTCGATTGTGTTGGGTTTTTTTCATAATTTGTAGGAGTTTTTTTAATATATTTTGGTGGCCCAGCTTTTGTGAGTTTCATGTGTTGTAAATGTGTTTTCTCCAGTGTGTGGCTCATCGTTTCACTCTCTTATGGTGCCTTTTGATGGATCAGAGTTCTTAGTGTAGTACATAAGTCAATCTTTTCCTTTATGGTTGTCAGTGTTTTTGTCTTGTTTAAGAAATCGTTTCTACACTGAGGTCATAGACAGTCACCTAAATTATCTTCTGAATGTTTTGAAATTTTGCCTTCACATTTAAGTCCTTAAGTCGTATGGAATTTTTTGTTTGGTGTGAAGTAGGGATCTAAATTCATTTATTTTCCACGTGAATAACCAACTCTACCAGTACCATATATTAAATAACATATGACTTTTTTTGTGATCTGCAGTGTTCATACAAAAAATTTCCAAAAATACAGAGTGTGTTTTCTCACGAATATTGCACGGCCTTAGGTCCTCGAGCCCGCATTGTCTTTGTACCCGGCGTGGCACGGCTTCTTGATCCTCAGATCCTCGTGCTCTTCCGATAATTAACCATTTTCTATAACAAATAAACCCAGAATTATTTATGCTTGTAGCAAAGGTACAGAACATGCCCCCAAAGAGTTGAGAGTCCAGGGGGACCAGGAAGTCCCCCACTTGCCTGGCACTTGGTGTTTCCCCTTTTAGTACATGGATAGGTGTTTGTCTCACTCTCTGGACCGTGTTCACGAGAGCAGGTTTCGTGTCTGTCTTCACTGATGACATACCTGGCACGTGGGGCTCAGTGGACAAAGGAGCCCCAGTACCCATCAGTGTATATTAACATTAGGTGGGTCTTAGCTACTTAGTGCTTAAAAGTAAAGAAAGAGAAGGAAAGTTCACCTCTAGCTTTGAGCCCTAAAGAGAAGCTGCTTAGAGGGCTCTGGCCTTGACGAGTGATGGGGGTGAGGGAGAGGATGTCTTATGTCGACGGAGCGATTCAGGTGAAGGAGAGAAGCTGATGTTAAGGCAAATCCAGGTGGGGTTCTTAAGGAAAATAGTGGTGGATCAGGGGGTTGGTGGTTGAAGCCGGATGCGGGGTGGGAGGGGGCAGAATGCTAAGGCCAAGGGCTTTTGATGGCAGGGCAGATAGAACTGGGAGAGAGGAGGCGTCAGAACAAGCAGACCTTGTTTAAACCTTTACGGGGTTAGGACACTAGGCTGGCGGGAGGGTGGGCTGTCCTCTTCTCCAGGTGCTCAAGTTCAACTGTCATTCTTTAACTGTAGATCTCAGAGCCTTGTCTGGAGCTAGAGGTTTTGTTTGGGGCTCAGCTTTTGCTACAGTTTTCTCTTTCTGTCCAGTTAATCCAAAGATAATTGGATTTTGGAGTTTCTTTCCTATTTTCTGAATAAAAAGACTCAAAAGGATATATAGCATTTATAGCTGATTTTCAACAGTATCATCTTATCGTCAGAGTTCAGTTAATTAGACGTCCAAAGTGTGTGCTTTTATCTCCATGCTTTTCCTTCCTCTGTATTACCCCTCTTTTCATGGGAGGAAAATGTTGTTTGTCCCATTATTAAAACTCATAAATAAAACCAGAAAGTTAGAAAAGTAAAACATAAAAATACTTAAAACTCTTCCATTCATAAAGAAACCACTGTCAGTATTTTAGTGTATTTTCCTTTAACGTTTGTGTATTTTTTTTTTTTCCCATTTCTGGGGAAGAGGGGGTTGGTATTTTTTTTAAGTAATTTTTTTTTGTGTGGTACGCGGGCCTCTCTCTCTTGTGGCCTCTCGCGGGTCTCTCTCTGTTGTGGCCTCTCCCGTTGTGGAGCACAGGCTCCGGACGCGCAGGCTCAGCGGCCATGGCTTCCGGGCCCAGCCGCTCCGTGGCATGTGGGATCTTCCCGGACCGGGGCACGAACCCGCGTCCCCTGCATCGGCAGGCGGACTCTCAACCGCTGCGCCACCAGGGAAGCCCCTTAAGTAGTTTTAATCAAAATACATACGATGAAAATTTTTCCCACCACTGGTGGATAGAATTGCTAGAGAAGCCAGGCTTTTTCACCAAACCTTCAAAATCTAATTGAAGGAAAATAAGAGAGTTCTAAGTCATTATGGTCACAAATTGATATGAACCTTGACACTAAGGGAGTAACCCAAGGAGGATTATCTGTATTGCCTTTTTCTTACTTGTTAGTCTGTCCTGTAGCTGTAACTGTAGCTGTCCTGTCCTGTAGCTGTAACAATGTGCATCCTGTCATTACAGCACCGTCAACAATTTCGATGGGACCGTGAGTATCGTCCCAGCCGGGGAAGCAAAGACATATGTAAATGGAAGACTTATTTTGGAACCCACGGTATTACATCATGTAAGTTGGCTGCTGCTAAGATGTGAGAAATTGTTTGACTTTGGGCAAGTGATCTAGTTTTTCTGAGCCCGGTTCTGTCCTCTGTAAGATCGGTAGTGAACGGGATGAAGGACTTTCTGGTTCTAACGTTCTCTTATTTCACGAATTGCCTGCCTTTGCGCAGAGACCGCAGTTCTGTTATGGTGGGTGGACCAGCCCCCAAGGAGCTGTCCACCAGCAGCAGCATTATGTGTCCCGGGAAGAGCTGGGTTTTGGAATCAGGCCAGACAGGGTCGAAGCCCTGGCCCTGCCACTTGCCATATGACCTTTGAAAAGTTATTAAGCTCGGCGTGATTGCATGTCACCCATGTCAGGACACTTTTGAGAGCACTTTAATAATTAGGAGAACAGGCATGAACTATTCTGTTGCAGGCAAAGCAAGACGTATGGTCACTTGGTATATATCCTGTCTTTCAGGAGGGGTAAAGGGAGGAGTAGGTGAAAGAATTCATGCATAGTTCTTAATACAGTGTCTGCAGACAGTGAGCTCAGTGTGCGCTTATCACTGCTACCGTTAAGCTCTGTGCTCTATTAGTTTCCTCATTCCTAAAATCGGGATAATAACATGCATAGTTGTGAGACATCAGTGAGATGACGTATATGTGTATAGTGTCAGATGCATTTCTTGGCCTGTAGGAAGCATTTCATAAATGTTAGCTGCTGTGATTTTTATGTTTATCATTAGTGATACTAGACTGTATTGAATTGTTGAACATAAGGGTTTGTCCCACGGAATTTTTTGGTTCAGACTCACCTCAAGGAGTAAATTTTTTGTGTGCTTTAGGGTGATCGGGTGATTCTTGGTGGCGATCATTATTTTAGATTTAATCATCCAGTAGAAGTCCAGAAAGGGGAAAGACCGTCCAGTAGAGATACTCTTGTGAGTGAGGGTCCAAGAGACTTTGAATCTGCAAAAAATGACTTGCTCTTGGCACAGAGATTGCAGTAAGTATTTTTGTTGGTATGAAACAGTAAGTATACGGGAGAGGGCTATGGAGAGCCTTAATCAGGGTGTCCTGGCTGCACTCGTTAACTCTTTGGGTGCCGATTTCTAGTGACGTGATCTTTCCTCTTCTGTGTGCATTCACTCAACAAACAAACTTAGCTCCTACGCCGGAGGAATTCGTCTTCTCATGGGGCTGACGGACAGACAGGCAGAGTGCCCTGACAGAGCCCTGCACCGTGTGGAGCTCCTGGGGTGACTCCTGCCCCGACCAGGGGTCAGCGAAGGTCTCATGAGAAGATGTCTCCTGCGAGGGAGTCGGCCAGGGGAAGCCTGGGGAGTGGACCCTTAGTTACTTTTCTTCTTTTGCCCCAGTTTTAGCTGAGGCAATATTGTAGGAGTTCTCATTTCAGCAGGGTCCCTGTAAAATAAATGGCAAGTAACACAGAAATAAAATGCTAAAGCATTTGGACTTTATCTTAAAGGTTATGGGGTCATAAGAGAATTTTAAGGAGACATGAGACAGATATGATGGGGATCACATTGCAGAAGGGTGACTGTGGCCCAGGTCTGGAGGGTGGAGGGTGGTGGAGCCAGGTCCCGGGCTGCAGTGCAGTGGAGGCTGGGGGGTGAGACGGGCATCTCGGGGTCACGGGGAGAGAAATATCTGCGCAGAGGATGGAGGCGGGGGGTGGGAAGGATGACCGGGGTGGGCCACACGAACCCTGCTTTGTCACCTTTTCAAAAGTCTGAGCTTGCTTTGCCCTCTTCTTTTTTTTTAAATTGTGGTACAACATACGTAGCATAAAATTCACCTTTTTAGCCATTTTTAAGTGTGCAGTTCAGTGGTGTTAAGTACATTCACAGTGTTGTGCAGCCTCAACCATATTCTGTCTCCAAAATTTTCTCCTCACCCAACTGGGCCTCTGTACCCACTAAGCAATGGCTACCCCCTCCCCGCGGGTCCTGGTAGCCATTAGGTCCTCTTTCTTTTGACATTCTTATTCTTTTTTTTTTTTTAATTTTTGGCTGCCTTGGGTCTTCGTTGCTGCACGGTCTTTCTCTAGCCGCGGTGAGCGGGGAGCAGGGGCCACTCTTCACTGCGGTGCGCAGGCTTCTCACTGCGGTGGCCTCTCCCGTTGTGGAGCACGGGCTCTAGGCGCACGGGCTTCAGTAGTTGTGGCTCGCAGGCTCAGTCGTTGTGGCTTGCAGTCTCCAGAGCTCAGGCTCAGGAGTTGTGGCACACGGGCTTAGTGGCTCTGCGGCATGTGGGATCCTGCCGGACCAGGGCTCGAACCCGTGTCCCCTGCCTTGGCAGGCGGATTCTCAACCATTGCGCCACCAGGGAAGCCCTGACATTCTTATTCTAATTCAGTAAAATTGGGTATGGAAATTTTATGCAGTACAATTGTTAAAGCATGGGGTTTTGTTGAGAAGAGAAAGAAGCTTTTAGTTTTCTGTAATCACCAATCCTTTTCCCCATATACAGTGAAAGGTAATTTAATATTTTGACTTCTCAAAATGTCTGAGTGTTACCTGAAAACTGGGTTCACCTCTTGGTGGGTGTCGAGCCAAAAGACACAGCCAGGCCAAAGATCAGGAGAAGGAAGGATTCATTACTTGGATCAAGTAAGGAGAACATGGGAACTTTCCCAAAGCCGTGCTTCCCCAACAGTAAGACTGTGGAGGTTTTAAGCTAAGGGTACATGCGTGTTCGTGAAGGGGCCCGAGCAGGGGAGAAGTCAGCATAGAATCAGGGCAGGGATCGACAGAGTCCAGGCTTCAGTTGACTGAAGCCACGGGGGTCACAGAAGGTCAGCATCTCCATCCCTGAGGTTCCCGTTGACCTGGTGGCTGAGCTTCCGGCTAATCTTCACCCTTGACTCGGAGCTGCGAGTCTTCACAACTGCTATTTTATCTTTGCTGTTGTTGCTTCTCTTGCCTGATAACAGTCGTTCTTTTGTTCCCTCGAGATCATTGGTTTCTGAGGCCTGTTCAAGGGCAAGCACGGTGTCCAGGCTCAGATCACAAAACAGCTCAGGCCAAACATGGCTTCGCTTCTGTCAAGAAAGCCCCGCCTGGTTCTCTCTCTGGGGGACCCCCCACCCTGTCTGCTTACAAAATTATTATAGATGATTGGAAAAATATGGTACAATCTCTGCTTTATCGGCTCATGTATCATGCTTTTAGAGGCATTTCAATATATTCCTAATCTGTGACCTAAACGTGAGTTGAAAGATAATGATATGAAATAATTTTTGCCCTAACCATTGTTAGTTTAACATAAAACGCCCATATTTTGTGTTTACTACGATGTTAACTATAATGTTTACTGCAGTGTTCACTGTAACATAATTATGTTATAAATATATATTTTATATTTTTATGTAAGTTAAAACATTTTTATATAGCTTAAGCATTAGAAAAACATATTTGCTTAAATATCGAGCATCTGCAATAGTAATTAGAAATGAGCAAATGTTCAATCTTTTATGTTTTGTTTGTGTAAACAATTCTAGAGCTAATCAACATTTCAGAATGCTGTTGACAGAATGTCAGAAATGAAGTTTTGAGATTTGAACTTTTGTTTAATTTAAAACCTCTTAATACGATTAAGAACTATTACAGCATATGAAGAATTCTTGACAGTCCCCTGTAACTATTGAATATTTTGCTACTTGTAGACTTGAAGCAGAAATAAAGGAGGCGCAGTTGAAAGCAAAGGAAGAAATGATGCAGGGAATCCAGATCGTGAAAGAAATGGCTCAGCAAGAGCTTTCCTCTCAAAAAGCTGCGTACGAAAGCAAAATAAAAGTCCTGGAAGCAGAGCTGGTAAGAGGCAGAACGGTTTTCTTTCTCTGCCGGTGCCGCGTCAGGGGGGAGCTCGGGGCCGCGTCAGGGGGGGGCCGCTGGGCGGGGGAGGAGAAGCAGAGGGGCCGCCCCCAGCCCTCGGGCAGTCGCGCCTCCCGGAAGCCCTTGTGGAGAGCGGCGCTCTGAAAGGTTTGACTAGTGATGGTTATTTTCAGTTGGGTTAGTCAAGCTGGGTGGGCTGGCGCAGCATTGGGGCACCTTTTCTGGCTGTGAGTCAATTTCTTGTGCACTGATTTGTACAGAGGGACTTCTGTACCTTTTTGGTATCATTTTTGAAGAATTGCTCTGTATCTTTGCCCTATTTATTTTTTATTATTGTATGTCAAAGAAAGAAGAATGTCAAAGAAAGAAGATACAGGAAATAAATAACCAAAAGGCTAATTACAAAATTGAGGAACTAGAAAAGGCAAAGCAGCGTTTTGAACAGGAAATATATGTCAACAAAAAGCGGTTAGAAATGGAGACTTTGGCTACAAAACAGGTAATTTCACTTTATAGCTAGTCTGAGCTATCTTGAGGAAAAGCTGGATTCTTCTTTTTCTTTTAAAGAGCTTATGGTCTTTTGATGGACGATGGCCAAACCCAGGTCTGCAGGTGAGAAGGGGCTTCCTGCCTGAAAGCCTCTGTCCTCACGATGTGCTCACACATTATCACACAGATCTTTGCAAAGGGACAGAGCTGTTGTTTCCAGCGAGTTCCAG